CATCTTGATTCTTGTCAGGAAGAAATTGTAAATCAGTGTAAATTTGTGGTGGTTTTTACTCACAAATTTACACTTTTGATGTATATTTTTAAAAATAAACTAGGAAATATACTTTTAAACTATTATTAAGGAGATTTTTTTTAAAAATTACTACAACAATTTTGATGTTTCATAACTGTACATTTTAAAAATACTATTTCATTTAAACATTTTTTTAAATTAATGTACTCTTAGTATTTTAGATATTGTTTATTAATAATGTAGTGGGATATTAAAGATAGTATTACTGATAAATTTATTTTCGTACCTCTGATGTTCAGGGTGTAAATTATAGACGGAATGTTTCTGTGTTTGGTACATGCATAAATAATAAGAATGAAAACCATTTTGTCATTTTTGTCATTATTATGTAAGTCATATTTAGTGAATGTTTATTATACTATTAGTTACCTTCCATTCTTCAAGTTTTGTATTGGTGTGTCTTGCATGAATAAGTATGTATTGTTGTATATTGTAAAACAAACATTGGTGAATTTCAACTACACAGAATGTCACTGATCCAGACATAGGCCAAATTAAATTAAATTCTGTGTTTCCAGTTACCCCACATCCCCATTTTTTTGAAAATGCAAATGAGTTCCAAATTATTTTTTTAAATGCAAATCAGGTATGTTACCGGCATATTTTGTGTGTTTATGTACTTTGTTCTATGTAGTAAATGAAGATATATATTCTGAAAGTGTCTTGGATTTCATTTTTCACATCTTTAGTTAAAACATGATGTTCTAATAAAAGTAAAATTAAAACATGCTGCTGGAATTTTTTAAGATCTTTACCGTAAACGCAAAACTTGTTTCATTTGGCCTGATAACAATTAAAAAGCCATTCTTTTATTAAATGCAGATGTAGGACATGCATGCATTGTAAGATGAATTATGAAGAATTGTCACCAGTACACAATGTCAGCGTGGTTAATTTTTTTATTTATTATGTACAATCTTGCTAATCCTGAATGGTTTTCAAATTTTGATATATATTTTTTTTCAACCTAATGACTTAAGAAAATTGTAGACAATGTCATTCATTTTCTCTATCACATATATTTAATCA